TGGATGGGGGGATGGATGGTTGGATGGATGGATGGATGGATGGATGGATGGGTTGAGACTCTGGCCCAGGTTGCCCCAAGAAGCTGTGGCTGCCCCATCCCTGGAGGGGTTCAAGGCCAGGTTGGAGGGGGCTTGGAGCAACCTGCTCTGGTGGGAGGTGTCCCTGGGTGGAACTGTGGGGGGCTTTAAGGTCCCTTCCAACCCAAACTGTCCGATTCCATCCCATCCTGGACCAGTATCATCAGAACATCCTCCAGCAGAGACTCAGCACAACTTGACTCCAAGCATCCAACAGAGTCCGGGGACAGGCCAGACCCTGGGGGAGCACCTGGGCTACTACAGGCCCATCCTGGGTTGCCCACCACCCACCCCGAGCTCTGCTGAGGTGGCCCAGTGCGAGTGGAAGGCGACCAGTGAGGAGCAGGGGCTCCCCAGTCCCACCAGGCAGCACCTCCAGGGAGCAGCAGCAGAAAGAGGAAGAGGAGGAGGAGGAAACACCAAGTCCCTAAAGAGCAGCTACAAAGAAGCAACGCAACTTGTTCCACCACTCTCCTAGACCACGTATTTTTTGGAGAAGTAGGGGTTTATTTTTGGTCCCAGACATGTGGGATGCAGATTTGGGGCCACCACTGCAGATTTGGGGCCACCACCACAGGCACGTGGGGCCACGTCCTCTGCCCACAGGGACAGCACGAGCTGTGGTGGGTAGAAGCAGCAGGAGGAAGCCCGTGGGGTGATGTCTTCCCCTGTGGGGTGATGTCTTCCCCCGTGGGCCGTGGTGGCAACGTGGTCCCTTGCAGATTTGGGGCCACCACTGCAGATGTGGGGCCACCACCACAAGCACGTGGGGCCACATCCTCTGCCCACAGGGACAGCACGAGCTGTGGTGGGTAGAAGCAGCAGGAGGAAGCCCGTGGGGTGATGTCTTCCCCTGTGGGGTGATGTCTTCCCCCGTGGGCCGTGGTGGCAACGTGGTCCCAGAAACAGGAACATCAGGGATTTTTAAAGGCCCAGAGAGAGAATTTCTCAAGAATTTAGAGGGGCTGAACACATCACAGAATCACATGGGGTTGGAAGGAACCTCTGAGATCATCTAGTCCAACCCCCTGCCAGAGCAGGTCCCACCCAGAGCAGGTGATGTCTTCCCCCTAGGGCTGTGGGTCAGGAGATAAGGCGGTCACAACGTGGTCCCAGAAACAGGAACATCAGGGATTTTTAAAGGCCCAAAGAGAGAAATATTTCTCAAGAATTTAGAGGGGCTGAACAGATCACAGAATCACATGGGGTTGGAAGGGACCTCTGAGATCATCTAGTCCAACCCCCTGCCAGAGCAGGGCCACCCAGAGCAGGTCCCACAGGAACGTGTCCAGGGGGGGTTTGAATGTCTCCAGAGAAGGAGACTCCACCACCTCCCTGGGCAGCCTCTGCCAGGGCTCTGCCACCCTCACAGGAAAGAAGTTCCTCCTCAGCTCCTTCCACTCCTCATTTCTTGTGCTTCTGGAACAAGGGGACACCCGTGGAGGCTCCAGAATCATGGAATGGTGGAAGTTGGAAGGGACCTTCCAGACCATGGAGTCCAACCATCAACCCAACAATCTGTTCTTGTGCTTCTGGAACAAGGGGACACCTGTGGAGGCTCCAGAACCACGGAACGGTGGAGGTTGGAAGGGACCTTCCGGATGGTGGAGTCCAACCATCAACCCAACACTGACAAACCCACCACTGACCCGTGTCCCTCAGCACCGCCTCTGCCCAGCTTTGAAGACCCTCGGGATGGTGACTCCACCACTGCCCTGGGCAGCCTCTGCCAAGGCTTCACAGCCCTTTCCAGGAAGAAATTGGCCCCAAGATCCATCCTCAACCTCCCCTGGGGCAACTTGAGGCCATTTCCTCTTGTCCCATGGCCTGTTCCTTGGGAGAAGAGACCGACCCCCCCTGGCTACACCCTCCTTTCAGGGAGTTGGAGAGAGCCAGAAGGTCTCCCCTCAGCCTCCTTTTCTCCAGGCTCAACACCCCCAGCAGACAATCCCTTGCTTTTAAGGCAGGACCTTGGAGCAGCTCCAGAACCCCCCCAGGCCCAGGCACCACAGAAGGAACCCAACGAGAAGAGCAGCATCTTCAGGAGGTCCTTCCTGACGGGGGGAACTTGATGGATTTTCCCCTTTGGGGAAGGCCAAAGCTACTGCTGAAGCCCAGAGGTTCCAGTCCACCCAGTAACGGGGCAGGAGCCCTTTTTGGGGGGGTGACACGGCGTTAACTCACCCCGATGGTGGAGGCCATGTAGTCAGCACACATCTCGGCGAAGTCCCGCTCCAGGACCCCGTAGTAGAGCCCGTAGAAGAGGAGGGAGATGCCAAAGTCCATGGCGTCTTCTGGTTTGATTCTGCCACGAGAGGAACCCCAACGACGTCAAGAGCTTTCCTCAAGAAGCAGGGTTTGAAGGGAGACGTGGTGGGGTGGGACACACACTCTCACCAGCCTCTCCCCAACACCTTTGGATCCCTGACCAACTCCCAGTAAGCCCCCAGTTAACACTTCCACCTCTCTGGAGGCACTTCCCAGGTCTTCTCCTCATTCTAGAGAAGGATTCAACCTCTCTAAACACCATGATGGCTTGGGTTGGGGTCTTCTGCTGCCACCCCGCTTGTCACAGGGGTGACATTTAGAATCATAGAATCATTGAGGTTGGAAGAGACCCTTGGGATCATCGAGTCCAACCATCTCCCCTACTCTACAAAGCCCTCCCCTACACCATGTCCCTCAGCACTGCATCTAAACGGCCCTTAAACACAGCCAGGGATGGGGACTCCACCCCCTCCCTGGGCAAATTTATCAGGGTAACGAAGAAACACCCCCATTTGGACACACACAAGGAGCTGGAAGGAGGGTTCCCAATGACCTTGACCACCATCTTCTCCCCCGTGATCCTCAAGGACACCCCAAGAGTCTCTTTGGCCCCGTTAACGCGATCGTTAAGAAAATTGATTTTTCCAGAGTTGCAGCCAAAGCCTTATTCCACGTGGGGGGGGGGAAATTACAGCCCCCACCCCACGAGTGGGGACCAAAAAAAGAGCCACTCACCTGAATAATAAATTAAGACCGAAGAGCGTGAACATGACGGCCATGTAGCCCACGATGCCGGTGGCGTAGCTGATCTTGTATATTAGTAAAAACCATTTATAGACCAGTCTGTAGAGAATGGGAACAAGAATTAAAGGGCTTCACGTTTCCCCTGGAAGGAAACTGTCCCAAGAACCTCAAGAGTTTGGTGTTGGAAACCTGGAGGGTGTTTGGAGACGCTTCACCCACCCACAGGACCCGGCAAGAGAGGTTTGGATTCCTAATTCAGGAGAAAGATCCACCCCAACCATGGGAAGAGAGCCCTAAAGTCCTAATTCAGGATAAAGAACCACCCCCACCATGGGAAGAGAACCCTAAATTCCTAATTCCAGCTACAGATCCACCCCCACCATGGGAAGAGAGCCCTAAAGTCCTAATTCAGGATAAAGAACCACCCCCACCATGTGAAACAGAGCTTTAAATTCCCAGTTCAGGCTACAGATCTGCTCCCACCACAAGAAACTGAGCTTTAAATTCCGAATTCGAGCAGCAGATCCACCCCCACCATGGGAAGAGAGTCTTAAATTCCTAATTCCAGCTACAGATCCACCCCCACCATGGGAAAGTTGGTGTTGGAAACCTGGAGGGTGTTTGGAGACACTTCACCCACCCACAGGACCCGGCAAGAGAGGTTTGGATTCCTAATTCAGGAGAAAGATCCACCCCAACCATGGGAAGAGAGCCCTAAAGTCCTAATTCAGGATAAAGAACCACCCCCACCATGGGAAGAGAACCCTAAATTCCTAATTCCAGCTACAGATCCACCCCCACCATGGGAAGAGAGCCCTAAAGTCCTAATTCAGGATAAAGAACCACCCCCACCATGTGAAACAGAGCTTTAAATTCCCAGTTCAGGCTACAGATCTGCTCCCACCACAAGAAACTGAGCTTTAAATTCCGAATTCGAGCAGCAGATCCACCCCCACCATGGGAAGAGAGTCTTAAATTCCTAATTCCAGCTACAGATCCACCCCCACCACGGGAAAGGGAGCTTTAAATTTCTAATTCAAGCTATGGATTGCTCCCACCATGAGAAATAGAGCTTTAAATTCCCAACTCAGGCCACAGATCAACTCCCACCACAGGAAGAGAGCCCTAAAGTCCTAATTCCAGCTACAGATCTGCCCCCACCACGGGAAACAGAGCCCTAAATTCCCAATTCCAGCTACAGATCTGCCCCCACCATGAGAAATCAAGCTTTAAATTCCCAATTCAGGCTATAGATCTGCTGCCACCATGGGAAGAGAGCTTAAAATTCCTAATTCCAGCTACAGACCTGCTCCCACCATGAGAAATCAAGCTTTACATTCCCAACTCAGGTTACAGATCCACCCCCACCATGGGAAACAGAGCTTTAAATTCCCAATTCCAGCTACAGATCCGCCCCTACCATGGGAAACAGCTTTAAATTCCCAGTTCAGGCCACAGATCAACTCCCACCATGGGAAGAGAGCCCTAAATTCCTAATTCAAGCAGCAGATCCACTCCCACCACAGGAAGAGAGCCCTAAAGTCCTAATTCAAGCCATCGATCTGCTCCCACGATGAGAAATCAAGCTCTAAATTCCCAGTTCAGGCTACAGATCCACCCCCACCATGGGAAGAGAGCCCTAAATTCTTAATTCCAGCTACAGATCCACGCCCACCATGGGAAATGGAGCTTTAAATTCCTAATTCAAGCCATCGATCTGCTCCCACCATGAGAAATCAAGCTTTACATTCCCAGTTCAGGCTACAGATCCACTCCCACCACGGGAAGAGAGCCCTAAATTCCTAATTCCAGCTACAGATCTGCCCCCACCATGAGAAATGGAGCTTTAAATTCCCAACTCAGGCTATGGATCCACTGCCACTACAGGAAGAGAGCCCTAAAGTCCTAATTCCAGCTACAGATCCACCCCCACCATGGGAAGAGGGCCTTAAATTCCTAATTCCAGCTACAGATCTGCCCCCACCACAGGAAAGGGAGCTTTAAATTTCTAATTCAAGCCGCAGACCTGCTTCCACCATGAGAAAGGGAGCTTTAAATTCCTAATTCAAGCCACAGACCTGCTCCCACCACAAGAAACTGAGCTTTAAATTCCTAATTCGAGCAGCAGATCCACTCCCACCACCAGAAGAGAACCCTAAATTCCTAATTCCAGCTACAGATCTGCCCCCACCATGGGAAATGGAGCTTTACATTTCTAATTCAAGCTATGGATCTGCTCCCACCATGAGAAATTAAGCTTTACATTCCCAGTTCAGGCTACAGATCCACTGCCACCATGGGAAAGAGAGCTTTAAATTCCAAATTTGAGCAGCAGATCCACTCCCACCACGGGAAGAGAGCCCTAAATTCCTAATTCCAGCTACAGATCTGCCCCCACCATGGGAAATGGAGCTTTACATTTCTAATTCAAGCTATGGATCTGCTCCCACCATGAGAAATTAAGCTTTACATTCCCAGTTCAGGCTACAGATCCACCCCCACCACGGGAAGAGAGCCCTAAATTCCTAATTCCAGCTACAGATCTGCCCCCACCATGGGAAAAGGAGCCTTAAATTCCCAACTCAGGCTACGGATCCACTGCCACCATGGGAAAGAGAGCTTTAAATTCCAAATTTGAGCAGCAGATCCACTCCCACCACGGGAAGAGAGCCCAAAATTCCTAATTCCAGCTACAGATTCGCTGCCACCACGGGAAGAGAGCCCAAAATTCCTAATTCCAGCTACAGATCTGCCCACACCATGAGAAACAGAGCTTTAAATTCCCAATTCCAGCCACAGACCTGCTCCCACCATGAGAAATCGAGCTTTAAATTCCCAACTCAGGCTATGGATCCACCCCCACCATGGGAAGAGAGTCTTAAATTCCTAATTCCAGCTACAGATCTGCCCCCACCACGGGAAGAGAGCCCTAAATTTCCAATTCAAGCCACAGACCTGCCCCCACCATGAGAAATGGAGCTTTAAATTTCTAATTCAAGCCATTGATCTGCTCCCACATACGGATCCACCCCCATCATGTGAAACAGAGCTTTTAATTCCCAATTCAAGCTATAGATCTGCTGCCACCACAGGAAGAGAGCCCTAAATTCCTAATTCCAGCTACAGATCTGCCCCCACCACGAGAAACAGAGCTTTAAATTCCCAATTCAAGCTATAGATCTGCTGCCACCATGAGAAATAGAGCTTTAAATTCCCAACTCAGGCCACAGATCAACTCCCACCACAGGAAGAGAGCCCTAAAGTCCTAATTCCAGCTACAGATCTGCCCCCACCACGGGAAACAGAGCCCTAAATTCCCAATTCCAGCTACAGATCTGCCCCCACCATGAGAAATCAAGCTTTAAATTCCCAATTCAGGCTATAGATCTGCTGCCACCATGGGAAGAGAGCTTAAAATTCCTAATTCCAGCTACAGACCTGCTCCCACCATGAGAAATCAAGCTTTACATTCCCAGTTCAGGCTACAGATCCACTCCCACCACGGGAAGAGAGCCCTAAATTCCTAATTCCAGCTACAGATCCGCCCCCACTATGAGAAATCAAGCTTTAAATTCCCAATTCAAGCTACAGATCCACTCCCACCACCGGAAGAGATCCCTAAATTCCCAATTCCAGCTACAGATCCACCCCCACCACGGGAAGAGAGCCCTAAAGTCCTAATTCCAGCTACAGATCTGCCCCCACCATGAGAAACAGAGCTTTAAATTCCCAATTCAAGCTATAGATCTGCTGCCACCATGAGAAATAGAGCTTTAAATTCCCAACTCAGGCCACAGATCAACTCCCACCACAGGAAGAGAGCCCTAAAGTCCTAATTCCAGCTACAGATCTGCCCCCACCACGGGAAACAGAGCCCTAAATTCCCAATTCCAGCTACAGATCCACCCCCACCATGGGCCACCCAAGGTTTTCATTCCAAACTAGAAACCTTGGGATGTGCCAAGGCCCTAAAGAACGGGCCACACCAGGAATGCCCCGGGTGATGCCACCAGCCCCTCGGGTACCAGCTGTTTCAAGGGAATAACCTGTGGCAGGGAAACCAGAAAGAGCTTCTTGAAGTGTTCTCCTGGGGATGGAGGGTTTTCCCCCAAAAAACACCCACCCCGTGTTACCACCAACCTGGGCGTTGTCTGTACCAGAGGTTTTCGGGTTGCCCTGAAGGTGACAAAAGCTGTGACGGCGGAGAAGAGCACCCAGATGACCAGGAACCGCCACCAGTAGAGCTTGATGGTGAAATAGAGAGGCACCACCCACATCTGGAAGAGGGTCACCATCTACAGGAAGAGAGGAAAAAGCCTTTGAAAGCTGGTTTTTTGGGGCTCAGGAAGCAGCAGAAAAACCCCACTCCCACCTACACCAAAGAGCCTCCAAGAGGAGGAACCACAGGAGGTTCGGTCCGTGGCACCCAACACCCAGAGAAGAAGCTCAGAACCTGACTGAAGGAGATTTTTGGTTAAAAAAAAAGAAAAAAAAGGCTTAAAGTTGGAGGGAGAACACAGAGGAGGGGGGAGGACGCAGAGGAAACACTTGCAGAAGGAGGTAGAGATTTTCCACCTCATTAATTGCGGTCAAGCGGCTGTTATCAACCTTAATTGTCCCAAAGGCTGCAACCACAGACATCTCAGGTGGGTATGAAAGAAGGAGATGGGCAGAGTAGAAGGTTCTAGACTCATCTCTGCCCCACGGCCCGTTGCCAAAAGGGCTTGAGGGCAGCTCCTGCCACGGGGGAAAGGGGTAAACAGGTAAGGAAGTCAAGAGCGAGGTTGGTTGGGGTGAAATGAAAGTCCCCGATGAGGTGGTGGCATGGGCAGGTCCACTCCATGGAGCCAAGGTCTGCTGGTCCCATCACTTGGTATCAAAGGGCCACGTAAAATCGAGTTACGGGGTTTTATATACTTATAAAATTATAGAATCATCCAGGTTGGAAGGGATCTTCAAGATCATCTAGTCCAACCGTCAACCAACAAACCTTCAAGATCATCTAGTCCAACCACCAACCAACAAACCCTCAAGATCATCTAGTCCAACCATCAACCAACAAACCTTCAAGATCATCTAGTCCAACCATCAACCAACAAACCCTCAAGATCATCTAGTCCAACCACCAACCAACGAACCCTCAAGATCATCTAGTCCAACCACCAACCAACAAACCCTCAAGATCACGGGGAGGGACTCTTTGCCAGGAGGTGTAATGATAGGACAAGAGGAAACGGTTTTAAATTGGAAGAAAAAAGATTCAGATTAGATCTCAGGAAGAAATTTGTTACTCTGAGGGTGGTGAGACACTGGAACAGGTTGCCCAGGGAAGTTGTGGCTGCCCCATCCCTGGAAGTGTTCAAGGCCAGGCTGGATGGGGCCTTGAGCAACCTGCTCTAGTGGGAGGTGTCCCTGCCCAGGGCAGGGGGGTTGGAACTCGATGATCTTTGAGGTCCCTTCCAACCCAAACCATTCTATGATTCTATCTAGTCCAACCATCAACCAACAAACCCTCAAGATCATCTAGTCCAACCATCAACCAACAAACCTTCAAGATCATCTAGTCCAACCATCAACCAACAAACCCTCAAGATCATCTAGTCCAACCACCAACCATCCAAAAATATCACTTCTAGAGAAACTTAATGCCTCTGGGCACGTCCATCCTCATCCCTAGCTAGAATCCCTAAAATTGGGAGGAACTGGGAAGAACTGGGGTATCTCAACCCCAGACAAGAGGAGAAAAATGGAACCACGCTTCTCATCGGCCAAAGGAGGGCATCACTCCAGCCTTGGGGAGCGAAGGGCCTCGCAGGAGAAGACACTTACGTTGTAGGAGCGAGGGTGCCTCTGTTTCCACTGAACCAGCAGGAGTTGGGCCACCACCAGCGTGGCGATGAGGATGAGGACCATCTCGGCGTGCATGGCCTCGTGGCCGCGGTGCTTGGCGTGCATCCGGGCGTGCTCCACTCTGCAAGCACAGGGAAAAGGGAAGAGGGGTGAAGAGCACGTCGTGGCCAACCGGGGTGGAAAGGCTTGGAGAAATCCAGGTAGACGATGGCCAAGGACCAGGTCCTGCCCTTGGGTCACACCAACCCCATGGATGCTCCAGTGAAGGTGCCAGGTGGAAAAGGACCTGGGGATGTTGGTTGACAGGACCTGAATATGAGCCAGCAGTGTGCCCAGGTGGCCAAGGAGGCCACCAGCATTCCTTTATGAGGAGCAGTGTGGCCAGCAGGGATTGTCCCACTGGACTGGATTGTCCCACTGGTGAAGCCCCACCTCAAGGGTTGGGTCCACTTTTGGGGCCCTCCTGACAAGAAAGACCTTGAGGGGCTGGAGCGTGTCCAGAGAAGGGCAACGGAGCTGGGGAGGGGTCTGGAGCACAAGGAGAAGGGTCTGGAGAACTTCTGAGGGAGCTGGGGGTGTTGAGCCTGGAGAAAAGGAGGCTGAGGGGAGACCTTCTGGCTCTCTCCAACTCCCTGACAGGAGGGAATTCCATCATTCTAGCAGCCCAGCAGGGGTGACAAACACCTTGGCACAGAGGAACTGGGAAGACCAGACCAAGAGACACATTCTATCATTTTAGCAGCCCAATGGGGGTGACAAACACCTTGGCACCGAGGAACTGGGAAGACCAGACCAAGAGACACCAGAAAGGAGCATCGTGGAGACGGGTGCTGTGTTGCAATCCAGAGGAGAATGGACAAAAAGCTTAGAATCACAGAATCATGGAATGGTTTGGGTTGGAAGGAACCTCTAAAGGTCATCAAGAACAACCCTGCCCTGGGCAGGGACACATCCCACCACAACAGGTTGCTCCAAGCCCCCTCCAACCTTGGCCTTCAACCCCTCCAGGGATGGGGCAGCCACAGCTTCTCTGGCCAACCTGGGCCAGGCTCTCACCACCCTCCCACCAAACAAGTTCTTCCCCACAGCTCAGCTCCATCTCCCCTCTTTCAGGGTCAAACCCTTCCCCCTCCTCCTAGGGCTCCCCTCCCTCATCAAGAGTCCCTCCCCATCTCTCCTGGAGCCCCTTGAGGGACTGGAAGGGGCTCCAAGGTCTCCCCGGAGCCTTCTCTTCTCCAGGCTGAACCCCCCAACTCTCTCAGCCCCCCCTCCCAGCAGAGGGGCTCCAGCCCTCCCAGCATCTCCGGGGCCTCCTCTGGCCCCATCCAACTGTTCCATGTCCTTCCTGGGCTGATGACTCCACAGTTGGACACGGAGCTTCAGGAGGGGTCTCCCCAGAGATGACCTGCTCTAGCAAGGCTGGATGGGAAGTGGGGGGGCCACCATCCACAGCCAGCAAACCCCCCAGACCCCTTAAAATCTGTGGTCCTCTCTGCTCCTCTCTCAGCCCCATTTACATCCCAGAACAAGCAATTTCTGGTGCTCTACAGAATCACAGAATCTTCTAGGTTGGAAGGGACCTTAAAGATCATCTTGTCCAACCGTCAACCTAATTTTGACAAAAATAAACACCCACACAACAAACAAAAAGCATCACCATCACTAAACCAGACCTCCCAGCACTACATCAACCCGTCTTTTGAACACCTCCAGGGATGGGGCCTCCACCACCTCCCTGGGCAGCCCATTCCAACGTCTGATGACCCTTTTGGTGAAAAAATGTTTCCTAATATCCAGCCTGAACCTCCCCTGGGGCAACTTGAGGCCATTTCCTCTCGTCCTGTCACCTGTGACTTGAGAGAAGAGACCGACCCCCACCTCTCTACACCCTCCTTTCAGGGAGTTGGAGAGAGCAAGAAGGTCTCCCCTCAGCCTCCTCTTCTCTTCTAGGGCCACCTTTCTTTGCAGCTTGTGCTGTTTGACCAAAAACCAAGGTGGAACTAAGACCTGAAACGCCCTCGTATCTCCCTCAGTGCAAGTCAGGGGGGAAAAAAACCAAGTCCAAACCCAAGAAATACACCAAGTTCTCTGATCTTTAGAAGCCCTCTATAAATTAAGACTGAGAGAAGGTCGGTCTTTTCAACCAGTGTCCACCTGGAATTGGTTTGGCCAAGGGCAGAGGAGGAATATCTAGGAAGAGGTTTGGAAGTAAAAAGCATGAATGTGGTTTTTTAAGGATGTGGGAGCTCCACGGAACAAATAACACCGCATAGGGAAGGTTGACCATGTCCTGTCCCACCATGAAGAGGGGCTGAGCTGCACCATCTCAGCTCCCAACAGACTCACCTCCATCTCTCCTCTGGGGACAAGTGTGAAAGGTCCACCTGGGGAGAGAGAAAAAAAAAAAACAACCCTAAAATAAAGAGCAGGTCCACCCAGAGAAGGTCCCACAGGAACGTGGCCAGGAGGGGTTTGAATGTCTCCAGAGAAGGAGACTCCACCACCTCTCTGGGCAGCCTCTTCCAGGGCTCTGCCACCCTCACAGGAAAGAAGTTCCTCCTCATGTTGAGATGGAACTTTCTATGTCCCAGTTTGTGCCCATTGCCCCTTGTCCTGTCCCTGGGCACCACTGGGAAGAGTCTGGCCCCATCCTCTTGCCCCCCACCCTTTAGAGCATCCATGAGATCCCCTCTCAGTCTGCTCTTCTCCAGCTGAACGGCCCCAGGTCCCTCAGCCTTTCCCCATCAGAGAGATGCTCCAGTCCCTCCTCATCCTCACAACCTCTGCTGTCCCCTCTCCAGCAGTTCCCTGTCCTTCTGGAACTGGGGAGCCCAGAACTGGTCCCAGTGCTCCAGCTGGGGCCTCCCCAGGGCAGAGCAGAGGGGCAGGATGACCTCCCTCCACCTTCTTGATGCCCCCCAAGGAGACCACGGGGACACCAGGAAGGCTGGGCTGTGTCCCCACTGCCTCTTCACCACCAGTAACCCCAGCACAGCTCCTTCATCTCCTGGTGAGACCTCCTCAGTGCCAACCCCTGACACCCCCAAATTTGCTCTTTTGAGAACTTTCCAAAGCCAAGCCCTGGGTTCAGAAGCTCTCAAGAACAAGCCCCCAACGTGCCCATCTTGGTACCACAGCCCAGCGATGTTCTTCATCCCTCCTGGTGGCACCAGCAGAGCTGCAGATCCCCCCCCTTGGGTGCTTTCCCCCCTAAAATCCCATATTTTAGGGCAGCCAAGGCTCTGCCCACCACTCCTCACTAGAGGGGACAGAGGAACCGGTCCCAGTCCCATGTCCCCAACCCCACCAGGCATCTCTGGGCACAGAGGAGAGATCCCAGCGCCCACCAGGAACAGGACAGAGTCCAAAACCCCACCAGGCTGCAGGACAAGGGATGGTGTCTTCCCAAAAAACCATCACCCCCCCCAAAAAAAAAAAAAATAGAATCACAGTAAAAAGGAAAGATTTAGGACTCGCTTTGCAGACACGGCTGGAAGTTTCTCCCAAACGTTTTGGGGCAGCAAAGTTTTGGCCCAAAAGGAGCAACTGAGGGACAGGAGCTGCTGAGATGATGGATTGGTGGAATCCTTTCTTAGTCCTGGAAGCTGGAACTGCCCGGGTGGACACAGGGGTTGAGGACAACCTCCAACGCCCTCTGCCAAGGCTTCACCACCCTTTCCAGGAAGGAATTCTTCCCAATTTCCATCCTCAACCTCCCCTGGGGCAACTTGAGGCCCTTTCCTCTTGTCCCATGGCCTGTTCCTTGGGAGAAGAGACCAACCTCCCCTGGCTACACCCTCCTTTCAGGGAGTTGGAGAGAGCCAGAAGGTCTCCCCTCAGCCTCCTTTTCTCCAGGCTGAACATCTCCAGCTCCCTCAGAAGTTCTCCAGATCCTTCTCCTTGTGCTCCAGACCCCTCACCAGCTCCGTTGCCCTTCTCTGGACACCCTCCAGTCCCTCAACCAGGGGTCTCCAGGAGGCAGTTGGATTGGGAAGGGGTGTGGGCACCTTCCACACCACGTCTCAGCCCTCCTTTGGAGCTTTACATCTCCAGACAAGAGCTGAAGAACCCTCCCTGCCCGGGCAACACTTGCCCCAGGGCCACCACAAACCCTGGGGACACAAATGAGGTGTCACAGCTCTGGCTTCTCATCTCCTTTCTTTGGTGAGACACAAACGTAGATAAAACCTTCTGGAGCTGGGCACACAAAGACAGGGCTTGCAAAGCCCCTCCAACGTGGCCAAGGGGCTGGGGTGGCACTTGCCATGGTTGCCACAGCCCCGGATGACCCACACCCAACGTTGCCCAGCAAAAAGACATGAAGTTCTAAGAAAAGAAACCGAAAACAAGTCCCAGGGAGGACTTTGTTATCATGTTCTCCTGCACCGTGTACAAAGGAGTGACCTCCACCCTGGCTCGAGCTGCCAGCTCAGCTTCAACCTTTACCCTTGGGCTCTCCCAGAGATGGCAGCCAGCCTCGGTGGCATGGTGCCACAGAACCACAGAGTGATACGAGGTTGGAAAGGACCTCTGGAGATCATCTAGTCCAACCTCCCTGCCAGAGCAGGTCCATCCAGAGCAGGTTGGAGATGGGGTTTGAATGTCTCCAGAGAAGGAGACTCCACCACCTCTCTGGGCAGCCTCTGCCAGGGCTCTGCCACCTTCAAAGTAAACAAGTTCCTCCTCATGTTGAGGTGGAACTTCTTATGGTCAAGTATCTTGTGATCTCAAGACACTGGCATCTTCTTTCCAGCCCTATCTGCTGGCAGGACCCAGCTGGCACGGAAGACCCTTTTCTAGAGCACAAAAAAGTTGGGTTTTTCCCCTGTTTCACAGAACCACAGAATCACATGGGGTTGGAAGGGACCTCTGGAGATCCCCCAGTCCAACCCCCTGCCAGAGCAGGTCCCACAGGAACGTGTGCAGGGGGGGTTTGAATGTCTCCAGAGAAGGAGACTCCACCACCTCCCTGGGCAGCCTCTGCCAGGGCTCTGCCACCCTCACAGCAAAGAAGTTCTTCCTCATGTTTAGGTGGAACTTCTCATGGTCAAGTTTGTGCCCATTTCCTCTTGTCCTGTCCCTGGGCACCACTGGAAAAAGACCAGCCCCATCCTCCTGACACCCACCCTTGAAGGATTTAGAGGTGTTGATCAGATCCCCCCTCAGCCTTCTCTTCTCCAGACTAAAAAGCCCCAGGTCCCTCAGCCTTTCCTCAGCAGAGAGATGCTCCAGGCCCCTCATCATCTCTGTAGCCTCTGCTGTCCCCTCTCCAGCAGTTCCCTGTCCTTCTGGAACTGGGGAGCCCAGAACTGGTCCCAGTGCTCCAGATGGGGCCTCCCCAGGGCAGAGCAGAGGGGCAGGATGACCTCCCTCCATCTGCTGGTCACACTCTTCCTGATGCCCCCCAGGATGCCATTGGCCTTGGTCTCAAGAGCCCATTGCTGGCTCATGGGCATCCTGATGGTCACCAGATCTTTCTCCTCAGAGCTGCTCTCCAGCAGGTCCCCCCCAACCTCTCCTGGTCCATGGGGTTATTCCTCCCCAGGTGCAGCACCCTGCACTTGCCCTTGGTGTCGGGCCACCACCACCAGTGACACGTGACAGGTCATAGAATCATAGACGTGTCCAGGTTGGAAAGGACCTTTCAGCCCATGGAGTCCAACCATCGACTCATCACTGACCAACCCATGTCCCTCAGCACCACATCTCCGGAGCAACGCCGGCGAGAGATTCCCTCTCCAGGGCCTCCAAGAAGCTCTTGAGGGCTTGGATGGAAGATGTAGAGCTGTGAAAATCCCCCATGGAGCTCGTTGGGTGGTGGAGGAGCCGGTGTGGAGGTGGTGATGGTCTGGGATCTCCAAGAAGTGCTCTTGTATCTCCTGAATTCGCCGAGTTCTTCCATTCCCAAAGGATCTGTATCCAGATTCCTGCAGAAGTTCCTTTTTCCTTCCAAAAAATTCAGCTGCACGTTTTGGAGTGAGAACAACTGCTCCAAGAAATAGTCAAAAATCAAAGCCAACCCTTTAAAGATGTTCCTCAGCAGGAGAAGTGGTGAAACTCCAAGTCTCGTTGAGTTCCTCCAGGCTCTGGGAAGTCACCCGGGGGTCCCGCTGCCCAGACACCCCCAGTTCTCCCCAGCTCCAACCCAGTCCAAGCTGGACAAGGACAATCTACAAGCAGAGGGAGTCCAGCACCTTCAAGATCATGGAATCATGGAAGGGTTTGGGTTGAAGTCCAACAGAGCTATGAAAATCCCCCATGGAGCTCGTTGGGTGGTGGAAGAGCCGGTGATGGTCTGGGATCTCCAAGAAGCGCTTCATATCTCCTCAATTCCCTGAGGAGCTCCTTTCCCAAAGGATCTGTATCCAAATTCCTGCAGAAGTTCCTTTTTCCTTCCAAAAAATTCAGCTGCACATTTTGGAGTGAGAACAACTACTCCAAGAAATAGTCAAAAATAAAAGCCAACCCTTTAAAGATGTGCCTCAGCAGGAGAAGTGGTGAAACCCAAAGTCTCGCTGAGTTCCTCCAGGCTCTGGGAAGTCACCCGGGGGGTCCCCCTGCCCGGACACCCCCAGTTCTCCCCAGCTCCAACCCAGTCCAAGCTGGACAAGGACAATCTACAAGCAGAGGGAGTCCAGCACCTTCAAGATCATGGAATCACGGAAGGGTTTGGGTTGAAGTCCAACAGAGCTATGAAAATCCCTGATGGAGCTCGTTGGGTGGTGGAGGAGCCGATGATGATCTGGGATCTCCAAGAAGTGCTCTCATATCTCCTCAATTCCCTGAGGAGCACCATTCCCAAAGCATCCATGGCCAGATTCCTGCAGGAGCTGCTTTTTCCTTCCAAAAAATTCAGCTGCACATTTTGGAGTGAGAGCAACTGCTCCAAGAAATAGTCAAAAATAAAAGCCAACCCTTTAAAGATGTTCCTCAGCAGGAGAAGTGGTGAAACCCAAAGTCTTGGTGAGTTCCTCCAGGCTCTGGCAAGTCACCCGGGGGCTTCCACTGTCCAGACACCCCCAGTTCTCCCCAGCTCCATCCCAGTCCAAACTGGACCAGGGGCATTTTACAAGCAGCACCTTCAAAATCATGGAATCACGGAAGGGTTTGGGTTGAAGGGACCTTAAAGACCACCCAGTCCCAACCCTTTCCATGGGCAGGGACGTCTTCAATGACCTCAGGTTGCTCAAAGCCCCGTCCAACCTGGCCTTGAACATCAATTATACACCAATATATTGATTATAAGCCAATATATTGACTATTTTTCCCCCCATATGGTGATTTCTGGTCGCCAGAAACCTCTGCATCCATCAGATCCCTCAGCCTCTTGCCTTCAACCTCTTCCCCAAACAATCCAAACCCTCCTCAGCCCCAAATCCTGCTGGTATTTCCCCCAAAAA